AATTATCAGTGCTATTGATTGGAAAATTGCCTTCAGAAAAGTCATTATATACGAAAAAGGTTTTAAGCCTAAGATATAGACTGTAGAGTGAACAAAAATGTATATAGTAATAAGCGATAATGTGTTTCTAAACCAATTGTCCATCCTGGTGATAGAAAAAATTATGTTAAATCGTGGCCTTTATAATATTTTTGAATTCAAAATATACGATTCAAGTAACTTTTTACTTTCCTGTTATGAATCAGTGGATGAAAACTTGGAATTTCGAGATTTGTCGACAATGAAATCAACAAAAACAAGCGAACAGGTTTAATAACTTATGACCAAAGAAAGCATTAAATTTTTTATGGTCGAATAAGAGAGATCTGTGATATATAACGCGGCTCTTTACAGAAATGCTACCTGAGGATAATGATCAAATCGAACAGGGCTATGACTCTAAAATTGCAAAATAGTTACTTTGCAAACGTTCATACTTTGGTCTGCAACAAGCTGAAAATAAATAACAACTAGTCTGTAAAAAATGAATCAACTCTACCAGAATTGTCAAGTTAGACCAAATATAGTTGAAGAATGGAATATAATATTATTTCACTTATAGTAAGGCGGCAGGTATGCTTGAAGACTTGCTGTAAAGGAAAAATTCCTTCAGGTCAGTCTCAGCTCAACTACACTGTAGGTTAATGGACCGACACCAATCAGAGACCAACTACTCCCCTGGCTTATACCACGAAGGGCGTTGGATTATATTCGACAGGTGTCGAATATAATCCAATACATCATCACAGAGGTAATTCCTGCATATGCTGTCGGCGACACAACTGCCGGAATCGATTTTAAATTATTGGAATACACTCGCAGACTGGTTTCGCGCTATTTGGCCTCTTGTCAGTGGAAGATACTGTCCACCATCAACATAAAGTCGATGATTTCCCATAATCAGAAATCGAATTCCTTTCGGAGTATCATTCCTCGAATAAGGCTGAAGCGAACGACAAACAACATATTTGTAATCGCCTCATCTGCCTGTGAGCGAGGTTACCAACCGCATATGTAAAATTTGCCCAATTCCTCGTATAAGACTTGAAGACCGGTTTTAAATCCAATCATCTAAAGGAACAATTCGTTCAGGCCAGTATCAATCCTCTACACTGTAGGTCAATGGATTGACACCTATCAGAAAACAACTATTTTCACGAAAGGCGTTGGATTATATCCGACGTGTCAGTGGAAGATTCTCCACTGAAGTTATTCCTGCATATGCTTTTGGCGATACTTACAACTGCAGCAACAGATTTTCAATTATTGAAACACTTCGTTCAGAGGAAATATAAGAAAAACTACGAGTAAAAAGGGTCGAGCTGTGTTTGGGAATGACCAAGACAAAGCCATTTCGAGTATAATAGTTGTTAGTCTGAAAAAAGTCTGTTATATAAATAACCGGGGTGTTTTGTTGAAAATAATTTATATATGTTGGTAAGGATATGTAAAGAGCGTAGTTTTTCAAGCCTCAACCATCGGAAGTCATCAAACCTACTACTGATGTGATCAAATTTACGTATAACGAAGGAAAATTTTAAACAAGAAAATCCAAAAGCGTTTTTTCAAAAATTCCTATAAGTTCGGACAATTTATAAAAAAAAAGGGCCAAGTTTCTCCAAAGTGTTTGAAATCCTTATCTAAAGTAGGGTATATCATCATTTGAGCAATCAAATTACACCACTTCAACATGATTTTATGAAAGGTCGCTCGACAATCACCAACCTTTTCAATGTTGTCCAATATATTTCTGAAACCATTGACGGGAGATCTCGAACTGATGTCATATATACGGACTTCTCTAAGGCGTTCGACAGACTTGATCACGAATTACTGCTAACGAAATTGTACAGGTACGGCTTTTCTCTGACCCTTTTGTATCATACTTCACGAGGTTTTAAAAAAAATCTGTTGAAAATCTGTTTTTTCGTTAATCAGCTGTACACTGTAGGTTAATGGACTGCCACCTATCAGAGAACAACTACTACCCTGGGTAATACCACGAAGGGCGTTGGATTATAACCGACAGGTGGCAGTGCAGGATTTTACACAGAAGTAATTCCTGCATATGCTGTTGGCAATACAATTGCCGGAATTGATACCGGCAGGTGTCACCCTATTAACCTACAGTGTAGGTGAGTTGAGACTGGCCTGAACGAAAAGTTTTTTTATATAATTTGATTTACAGCCAGTCTTCAAGTGTGAGTTTTTTCCTTATATGAGGAATTTGGGCGATTCGGATATGCGGTTTGTTACCTCGTTTACAGGCAGCTGAGGCGATGACAAATATATTGTTTGTCGTTCACTTCAGCCTAGTTCGAGGAATGATACCCTGAAAGGAATCTTTACGGAAGATACGGGGGTATTTCCATGAGAAGTGAGACACACTGTATACTATTCCATATTTCAATTCTGAACAAAATTGATATAGGACATCATTACCTAAATTCAACCGTTTTCTAGATATCGAATTTTGAAAATAACTTTCTAATAAATTATCCAAAAATGTTTTAGTGCGTTAAGTTTACAGTCCATCAAGTTTCCTTTCGAAAGTTTCCAACTACATAAAAACGCCGCGTCGTTTTTTGTCCAACAGTGATGACCTTGACAACACATGTCAAAAATACATTTAGTGTAAATAATTTTCGCGCAAAATGGCACGTTTGACTGATACTAAGCGTATTGAAATTATAATGATCATCGGATACGGTAATAAAAGAAGAAGTTGTGACAAAGTAGTGGATATTTTCCACAAATTGCATTCCAATCGGAAACCCATTTCTGAATCAACCGTTTCAAACATATTGCAGCGTTTTCAAGGAACTGGAGGAGTCAAAGATTGACCAAAAAGTGGAAGACCAGCAAGCTTTACAAATACGATTTTGATCGTGGAATCGAGTTCTGTGAAGTTATTATGGCTGAATCAAATGAAACTTTGTCAACCACATATTGTTTTCTGATGAATCTACATTTTATTTAAACGGGCACGTTAATCGCCACAACTGTAGATGTTGGTCAGACCAGAGTCCACATTTGATGGAGGAAATTCACTCTCAACGGCCACAAAAAGTAAATGAATGGTGTGCATTATTGGTAGACACGTCGTAGGACCCTATTTTATTTACCGATTGACCTCTGAACGATATTCATTGATTTTACAACAGCATATTATTCCAGAGCGTAGACAATAATTCTCGAATAATGTCAACAAGATGATGCTCCTCCACATTTTGGACGTGTGGTACGGGCATATCTAGATGGAACTTTTCCTGATAAATGGATTGGACGCAGGGGAGCAATTGAATGGCCAGCTAGGTCTCCCGATATGACCCCACTTGACTTTTCTCTATGGGGTCACATAAAAAATGTAGTTTAGAAAAATAGGGCGCCAAATATCGAAAAATTGCAAGAAAGAATAAGGCATGAAATTTCTACCATTCCTCCCCACATGATTTTAGATTCACTACAAAATTTTGTTCAGCGAGTTCATTACTGGCAGGAGGTAAATGGAAAACACTTTGAACACATTATTAAACAGAATTCCAAAGAAAATATTTGTTGTTTATTAAAACTTGTTTTCTCTCTTTCACTCCTGGCACAACTATTGTATTCATAAAACTCTAAATATTTCGGACATTCATTAACAAAAACATTTTATCGTTTCATGCATTTTTATCAACCCTGAACAATTATGCTTTTGTATTTTCTGTAAAAAAATTATAATTGAATTATAATCATATCCACATACTCCACCTTGTGTGACTTTCATAAAAAATATTTATCTGTTCGAGCTTTTTCTTTAATGAATTTGAGAGTAGTAAAAAGTTATCTTCAAAATGATGTGCTATATTAATTTGGGTCAAAATTTCGAGCAAAATTGAAATATGGAATAATATATAGGGTGTTCTATTGAAGAAAAAACAACTTTATTTCTTCAAGACTTTTTGATTGATCCGGTATGTTTTTATTTAGTTTGATAGATTTTGATAAACCCTAAAATTTTTGTATCTTAATATTTTGCTAGCTAACTTACTTTAAGAGATAATCGACCGTTTCCATACATATCAGCGACCCTGTATAGTTTTTCATGGGAAATAATGTCTTTTATTTTTGTGATTAAAAAGTTGCTAACTGAAGTTACCAGTTTGTGGATGACAATAAAAAGCGCCATTTTACAAATTTTTGTTGCCCATAGTGAGCCCTACAAAAATTAATTGTTTGACATTTCCGATTTTCGAATAACGTTATTTTTGAACGAAGAACAAAATTAGGTGACAAAAAATAGAAATTCTAGAGAAATCCAGATAACTACTTCGAAAGTATTAGATATCATTCATCTTCCACTAGAACGGAAACAAAATATTAATTTGAAGTAAATTTTTCCCATAATGAATTTTCTATTGAAAAACTTTCGAAATTCTTAGGATATTTCACTTTCTACAATCTTCCTCCGTCTTCAGATTTGAAAAAATCTAAGAAGGCAGATTTTAGCCTGTGAAAAGTTAAGATTGTTGAGAATTCAAAGTTGAATGATGATAAATGAATTTTTAAATCGACGTCATCATTGCATTACTTAAATCAATTAAGCTTTTGTTCTACCAAAATTTCAAAAATGTTTATTATATTTTTTCTTAGTGTTCTGGAATTATCCGCAATGCCTGGTAAGATTTTTATAAATCACATAAACCATTTAATACCGACATTTTCTGAAGATGAACACGGTTTATAGGATAAAAAAATAAAATGGTAAAAAAGGATATTCTGTAGCAATGTAACAAGAAACTCTCGAATAGTCTTGATGAACCTAGTATTCAAGTCGTGTTTTGAAATCTAACCACACACAAAATAATTAACAGCACACACTTCTCAATTATATTTTGAACGCCCCAACTTCAAGTAAAGGATTCATATGTTCGTTAAAGAAAGAAGGTTAATTTAGAATTAATGAATTAAAATCTCACCTGGAAATAAAATTACGACAACCAAGTATGAAAATATCTTCATATTGTCGATCTGAAGAACCAAGTTGATAATGGGGCTGATTCGCAACTGCTGGAGTTTTTATCAATAGCTCGGTTTCCGAAAACCACTTACCAGATAAATTTGACTGATTGCAGGAAGCGAAACCTGCCTACAGGGTGTCGTGATACAAACTCAACTTGAATACATTCTGAAACAGTGAAATGAAAATTTTCGAAAATGCTAATTTTATCGTTCTCTGAATTTCATACTCACCTGCAATCAACAATTAAAATTTATAGAATGCAAAAGAGATTCACATTGTATCAAGGGATTTTATGAATATTATCGAACGCAATTTCTTTAAATATAAACTTCCTAAAATAACAAAGCAATCAACATCGAAAACAATACAAAAAACATGTTTTATCTTTTGAACGACACGTTTAATGAGGTAAATTGAATGGAAAGATAAAAATGGAAAACAAAAAAAACATTTTATATAGAATATAGGAAAGGCAAGAAAAATGTATTTCAGTTGAAAATCAAAGAGGATTTTCCAATCAGACATTTCAGTAAACCTATTTGGTAATGTTCTCCAAACATTTTGGTGACGAAACTTACTTATATTGCGAGAAACACAAGTTTAATGAATATAAATGAGTAAGTAGTATTATATTGTCTCGTTTGCCTCCGTGATTTTGACAATAACTCACTATAGTGATCAATTAAACTTAACTTCATTTCACTGCTACACTAACAATAAACACTAAAATTTCATACTAATATAGGAACGTAGGCTTTCACGGCTGGCGTCAATGTTTTGGTTGGTTTCCAGGTTTTGTAGTGGTCTTTCAGCTGATACGTACTTCGACCACGGCATTGGAGATGGCTGCCGCAGTTGCAGTCGGAACGTTTGGAGATTGTCACCAAAGAAAACCACGGCAAAACCCGGAAACCAACCAAAATTTCAAACTAATATTCAAATGTGTATTGTCTTATTAGAGCACTTCGCACCGCACTGTCAACTAGACTTTCTCGATATGCAAATGGGTAGAGTTTATATATGGTTATTAAAGTATGTCGAAGCCGATGCAACTAGTTTTCCTTTATTTCAATGTTTTCATATTAATTTAATGAATATAATGAGTAAGTAGTATTATATTGTCACGTTTTCCCCCGTGGGTTTGACAATAACTCACTATAGTGATCAATTAAACTTAACCTTATTTCACTGCTACACCGACAATAAAAACAAACACTTTAACTGAAACTTCAAACTAATATAAAAACGTTGGCTTTCACGGCTGGCGTCAATGTTTTGGCATTGAAGATGTCTGCTGCAGTTGCAGTTGAAACGTTTGGAGATTGTCACCAAAGAAGACCACGGCAAAAGCCGGAAATTAACCAAAACTTCAAACTAATATTCAAATGTATATTGTCTTATTAGAGCACTTCGCACCGCACTGTCAACTAGACTTTCCCGATATGCAAATGGGTAGAGTTTATATATGGTTATTAAAGTATGTCGAAGCCGATGCAACTAGTTTTCCTTTATTTCAATGTTTTCATATTAACACTTATTCACAAAGTTCACAAAAAGGATTTGAAGCTTTAATAACTTCTGATTATATGCAAGCGCATCTGATTGCAGACTGTGCTGTCATCTTCATGGCACTATTCAAACTGAACGTTTTATCTTCTTGTTTGTTTTTTCATACGGTCAGATTGCCGAAGTGAATTTGTTATTGTTGTTGATGATTCATTTATTAGGGCTTGGGCAGATGGTGCAAGAAGAAGGGTTTATAAAATAAAAAAACGTTTTAAGTTAAACAATTTTTCATTCATTATGAAACACCAAAATTTTTACTTATGTACAACAACAGAATCCAAGATAACAAAAAACACTGACTTGAAAGTAATAAAAATCATCATGTCTAGGCCGCCGTACTCGTCACGTCTGCTGTAAGTTGCTGAGGTCATTTACAAACTGTTCTGGTTGTAGCATCAAATCAAAGTAAAAATGTTATTGTACTCTCAAAAATATCGAATTTTTATTTCGTTCAGTCAAGTGGATGTATTGTTAACCATAATTCAATGCATGATTCCTCTTCATAATCATGGAAACGAGCTGGTAACTTTTAAACGACTGGAGACAACAAAATCAGATATTAAATGAAAAACCCGCATCAAAATTGGTCTACTAGTATAGGAGCTACAGTGCCGCAGACGTACACACAGATACACAAGTCGAACTCACAATACAATGGAAGAATGAATTGAAGAAACAAAAAGTTTCTACTTTTGGTTTTACTGGATTCCCTAATTTTTAATTTGTAATTTATATTTGATGATATATTTGCTTCAATAGATAAAACTGCCAAAGCTGAAAGTCTTTCTTGGCCCATTATGTTTCTTAAATACTTTTTTATTAGTTTCACTTTTGACAAGCTCCTTTCAGCAGNTCATGGATATATTCTGAGAGCCCACATCAAGTGCCAATAGCAAAATGTGGACAGATTTTCAATATGTCTGCTAATGAAGAAGATATAGGCAAAAAAATAATTTGGGATTTTTGGTTTTTCCTGTGTATCTCCAGAACCAAAAGAGCTATATCCGATTTCTTTACATCATTGAATAGGTCTCTAAAATACACAACTTTGCCACAATTTAACTTTGCTATTAATGTATCACGTCTTAAATGAGTTTGGTAATTTCGGGATCATATTTTGTAGTTCTTCATATAACTCGTAAGGTTGGAAGTCGTTGTTCTCACCTCCTTGCAGGATTGTGTAAAAATCTTGACTTTCCTCTTTTGGATTTTTTTAAAACTTCAAGTCATAGAGAAAACCAAAATTTTCAGAGTGTTCATTGGAAGACATAAATCTCGAATCCATATTGCTTATCACAGAATCAATCATGATATTAAAGGAATTTGTTTCATACCGGCTTTTGGCAGACTGTATTGGCTGTATTGACTGTTTAGCTGCTTTTCTCAATAAACTGTCGAGCGTCAGACAAGCATTTTTTGAAGCCAGTTTGTCGATATTTTTTGATCCAGTCACAAAATGTAAGCAAATGTTAAAGAGTAATGCTACCGGTCGGTTCGACGTGGGTGCTTTGTTCACTCACTCGAAGTGACTGCCGTGTTGGTCGGTAGTTCAAGCCCCAGGCTGAACGATCGATTTTTACTTGCTATCGTCCGACTAGGGACCACACGTTAAAAAGTAAGACCTCGTTAATCCTTAGCTCGCACAAGTTTCCACTTCTGAGGGTTGTCGTTTGTAGGGGTGCGACAGTCGGTTAACGGAAAAACAGATTTTGTCGGAGGAAGTACCACCGTGAAACGGAAGATTTGGGATGCAAACTCCTATGGAAAGGCATCATTTCGTGTTTTCACGTCGAGTTGATACAGCTTTTCCCAAGTTATTGTAATATTTATTCCAGATATTATTATTATTAAAGGAGAAAAAATGCATTACACAAGTGTTTTCTATCGTTAATTGGGGAGGCATAGATACCACTTGTATTATTGACTATAGTAACTCCTAGAAACGATGATAGTATACTGTCTACAATCTTTATCTTATCAACTGTTGATTATAACATGGAAACAGTTAATTTACGAAATGGGAAAATAGAAAAGGTTGACTAACCGGATTCTAGATATAGAAATTACTATTATTTGAAAAAGTTTTCAACGGTCGATTATGCTTGTAAGNATTTGAAGTCATCAAACCTACTACTGATGTGATCAAATTTACGTATAACGAAGGAAAATTTTAAACAAGAAAATCCAAAAGCGTTTTTTCAAAAACTCCTATAAGTTCGGACAATTTATAAAAAAAAAGGGCCAAGTTTCTCCAAAGTGTTTAAAATCCTTATCTAAAGTAGGGTATATCATCATTTGAGCAATCAAATTACACCACTTCAACATGATTTTATGAAAGGTCGCTCGACAATCACCGACCTTTTCAATGTTGTCCGATATATTTCTGAAACCATTGACGGGAGATTCCAAACTGATGTCATATATACGGACTTCTCTAAAGCGTTCGACAGACTTGATCACGAATTACTGCTAACGAAATTGTAAAGGTACGGCTTTTCTCTAACCCTCATCCAACTTTTTGTATCATACTTTACGAGATTTAAAAAAATCTGTTTGAAATCTGTTTTTTCGTTAATCAGCTATACACTGTAAGTTAATGGACTGACACCTATCAGAGAACAACTACTACCCTGGGTAATGCCACGAAGGGCGTTGGATTATAACCGACAGGTGGCAGTGCAGGATTTTTCACAGAAGTAATTCCTGCATATGCTATTGGCAATACAATTGCCGGAATTGATACCGGCAGGTGTCACCCTATTAACCTACACTGTAGGTGAGTTGAGACTGGCTTGAACGAAAAGTTCTTTTATATAATTTGATTTACAGCCAGTCTTCAAGTGTGAGTTTTTTCCTTATATGAGGAATTTGGGCGATTCGAATATGCGGTTTGTTACCTCCTTTACAGGCAGCTGAGGCGATGACAAATATATTGTTTGTCGTTCACTTCAGCCTAGTTCGAGGAATGATACCCTGAAAGGAATCTGATTATTGATTATGGGAAATCATCGACTTCATGTTGATGGTGGACAATAACTTGCACTGACGAGTGACCAAACAGCCCGAAACCGGTCTGCAAGTGTTTTCCCATAATTGAAAATCCATTGCGTCAGTTTTACCGCCAGCAGCATATGCAGGAATAACTTCAGTGTAGAATCCTGCACTGACACCTGTCGGAATAATCCAATGCCCTTTGTGGTATTAGCCAGGGGAGTAGTTGTTTTCTGATAGACGTCAGTCCATTCAACCTACTGTGTAGGTAATATGAGACTGGTCAGAACGAATTGTTATTTCAGATAATTCGATAATGATAATAGTCTCTGCAAATATCTCACTACTATTACTGTGAAGACGAAGAGAAAATCTCGATATTTCATCCGTTTTTTCTTGGAAGACATTCGTCTCGACAGGGGCTGAAAACTATTGCCATTATTATCAAAAAATCAGTTAGGTAATTTCGTTGAAATATATTTGAACACTCTCTCTTAAA